TTTTACCATGCTCCTTTGTTTTAAATCGATAATTTAATCCCTTCAAAGCGAACACAATTCATATATTTTGATCATTGGGAAGTATCCAATAAATGCAGGAATGGAAAATGATTCCGATATAGGGAGTATTGGTGTTAGAATAGTATTGAGAGAAGGAAGCCTTTTCTATTTGAACCCCCCCCCCTCACAATCGTTCGGTAAGCTTATTTTCGACTTGAAACTTAATCAGAATTATGTCATCTTCTCGTCATTTTTTTCCTCTCGCAGAAAGCTCACGAAGTGGTAATTACTACTAGACAAAATTACTCGCACACTGTTATAGATTTGATAAATTCTAAATGACCATCCTATAACCTAAATTTTACCTGCTCATCGATTGTATGTCCATCGTGAACGCATTGGTTTAACTCATCAGTTCAATTGTCATACCTTCCAATCAGTGAAAGTAGTTAACTAAGTTGGCAGGTTGGTTCATCCTATGAAAAATGTAAATTTCGCTCAATATTTGTTAGGTGCTTTAGTTATAAGTAGAAAAGAAATGTCAAAAGAAAATGCATTTTAGGAAAAAAATGTGACCATTATTTTCTTAGCTGTTATATTCTTATTTTGTTGAAAATACGTTTTGCTTTACCAATCAGCATTTTGACAGAAAATGTAGCAAAGCTATGTCATCGTAAATATTTTGTCCTAAAATTGACTTAAACAAAGAGAAAAAAATCAACAAATTTTTTAACTATCTTGTCATAAATCTTAAAATATATATATATATATATATATATATGCAAGGCTTGAATTTTGATCCGAAAAACAACACTTTCAAGTGATGAATTTATTGGCCTGTTTTGATCTGCAGAAACCGATACACAAGATGATTGAAAATGTATTTATTTACTCTTTCATTTATGAAATTAATGAATAAGAATTCGATTTTGATTGAAGTAGGAAATGTGCGTATCTATCTCAATTAGGGAGAATTTAGCAATAAATTTATCTGACAGCAAAAATGCATAGCAGTTTGGCCATTTTTCTAATGACACCTTTATGTGATCCTCGTTACACAACTCTGGCTCATTTCAAGGTCAAATGGGATGGAATCTCTCTTCCAGATTAGAAAGCCCGGAGTAATATCTTGACCGCGCCAAATAAGAATGAGGAAGCAAATTGAAGGTTGAGATACTTGAAAGGAGTTTCTGAGCAAATTGCCTGCGTGCAGTATGGAAAAAAAACAGATTTTGAGCAACACAAAAATTGACCGAATAAACGCCTGATCGTTGCGGAGGGTGATTTGGGCCCATGGGGTGGGACGGGGTGGGAGAGAAAATTCATTGAATAGGCTTTGTTTAAGCAGGGATTTGATTGTGATTCCGTGCACCCTTCGAAACCAACTTTTGAGTGGCACCTTCCGAGTGCTTGAAGATCACTATATATTTGAATTTGGCATGCGCACTAATTTCACCAAGTTGAATTGTGAATCGATCATTCAATCGATTAATTTTCTCATTCCCTTCAAATAAAAACAAAAGTGTTTATTTTGTTTCAGAGTTCAAGAGGTTGGAAAATTTTTAAATTGCATGACTTGTATCTTTTGAAAATGAACTTGTTTTGCTCTACTTGTCCATATATATATGACACGGTGAAAGTTCCCATGAAGCAACAAAGCCATTTGTACTCTGCCAAGAAGTGAAATGGGGAGAGAACGGGCATATTTAGATGATCATTGGTAGTTTTTTTTATTTAAATTCCATCTGTAACGAGGTACATATTTTTTCGTGATGAATGTTGTTCGAAATCCAAATTTCATGATTTCTCTCTTAGGTTCTCAGGTGCGTACACATACACGATGGTAAGAAGTAATTGGAAGGTTAAGTAACAACAATTCATTCATCTTTCGCCATGACCAAATGAAAAAGACCGGTTAAAATGATTCTAAAGTAGCCGAATTAGCTGATGCCAAAATCATTTTCAATTTTAGGCCGCTAACTTTACATCTAGAAGAGTCCGCTTTATATAGAGTGTGCGTTTTTTGTCAAAGATTTTGTCCGCTATCTCCACGTTTTGTCATAATCAAAAGCCTCTGAATTTGGTCAGCGCTTTGGAAGGTAGTAATCAAATTCGTCTGCCTAATTGCCCTCTCCTCACCAACCCCACACCCCCCAACCCCCCCNCCCCCCCCCCCCACCCCCCCCCCCCCCCCCCCCCCCCCCCCCCACCCTCCTCCTCGTTTGAGCAGTGTATTGTTAAAAGTCAAACGACTTTGGGAATTAATGAATTGAGATTTGGGTGAACCACTTCGGTTTTATCATTTTGAGGGCCCTAATTTCTGTAGAAACCCTTTAAATACAAATTTTGTCAAATTCCTTTGAAGGCACTGTTGAATTGGGTGATAAGCTAAATCAGATTTGTGACCTCGTTTACAATGGAGGGAAATAAATTTCTAAAATAGATTGCGTTGTGGAATCGTTCTCTTTTCTTCTTCGCATCCCCCCTTTGACCTCTAGGCGTTAAGTCACAAAATAGATGAGAAATTGACTGCCACATTTTATGATAATATTTCCATTTCAAATTGTCTTGTGCCAGGGAAGGTTGTATAACTCAAAGTTAACCAGTTTAATAATGGATTGTCATATGTGGTAAAAGTTTCTCTTTTCTACAAGTAAAAATTTCCAGTAAACTTCGTGTAAATTATTAGAATGAAATCATACATTCTAGTTTCTCTTAATAACACTGTTGTTGTTGATATTGTGACGCATAAGGCCGAATGCGTAAAAGGTTCCAAGTTCGTTGGATTCAGAGAAGTTCTAAAAATTCCGGACCAAAAGATCAAGAAAATCAGATCGAAGGTGTATTGAAGTAATCACAAAATGAGGAATTGAACAAATAAGTGGGAGATGAGGGGATGGCCCAAAAAAGGGACAAGTGTGTTTCGGCTTTTGTGTATAACTCAAGGGAAGTACAAAGGCGGTCCGAACGACTCACATAGGCAAAGTCGCGCTTGGGGGATATGAGTGAGGATGCACGCTAGAATGAAACGAATCACTTGGACTACTACAAGCGTAATCGATAAATTCGAATAAAACATGACAAAGCGGTTTTGGGTTAGTGGAACAAGGGGACATTACTGCATCTTCGTGCAGTTTCATATTGAATGCGACTATAGGAGTGCTTTATTAACACTTTGAGATTCTTCCCTCAAGACGAACGATTATTCCGCAGCTCAGTCCTTTAAATTGGAAAAGAAACGCATTTACGCCATTTGCTAGTACTAATGCTTAGTTGAGCAATGGAATAGTCAAAACGAAAATCCCATTAACTCCTCGCATGTGGTAAACAGTCAGAAAGGTGATCCACTTCCCGATGTATTCCAATCTCCAGAATTGTAGACAAAGTAAAACTACCGGTTTCTGTGTTGAGACTACTTTTCAGTCTTTTTATACCATGAAAAAAACCCTCAAGTAAGTCTAACCAATCAAAATCGAATTTCCCTTTGTTTAAATCCCGGTAAGTTTCATTTGAATTGACAGTTTAATAATCGAACAGCCAATTCATACGATGATACCCCCTGGCGGTGGCTTTTTTCTTTCGAAATCTAAATATCAAGAACGGAGCAATACTTCAGTCTGACGATTACTTGAAAAAAACAAATTGTGTTTTATTTATTTAGTTATTAATAGTGAGTTCATTAATCCAATGATTATTTACAGCATTTGGGAACTGGACAGTAGGATACTTAGTTGGTGCATTGAATAGAGAGTTCCGCAAGAATTTAGAGTTGGCTTTAGGCATTTGTACAACTAAGAAGAAGTAACAAAAGATTTTTTGTTCATGAGCACTCTTTCACTCTTCAAAAATGCATATCCATTGGTGGAGAGGGTGGGGGGGGGGTTTAAAATGAAAATTTCTTCTCCAATTTTGACCGAAATGATTTTTAACCATTTAAGTAAATCATTTCTAAACCCCCCCCCCGGGTTAAATTCTCAAAATTACTGTCTAACTATTAAATCAAGGTTAGGCGAGTAATTGTCTGTCAGATCCGACTCACCTGATTGGCAGCTAACTTAATTACCGATTTCCTGGAAATCGAATTATTTTTAGATTACCTTCCATTTAATCGATACTTCATTTTGTATTTTTCTATTTGGATTTTGTAAATACTTCCTTTTACGAATACCGGTTTACTTCAAAACATCGCCACCTTCTCACTTTCGACAAAGTGTGGGACTTCCTGTCTCAAAATATTCCACTAGTATCTGATATACGCAGGACAAGTAATTGACTTCTTCAAATTTGTGTTTTTTTCTAAGAAAATACCCTCAAACTTTGTTTAATTAATAGGAGACAAATACCTCGACGTTTTAGATCTCACACTATGTAATGTTTGTTCATTTGATATTTTTTCTGGATATTTCTAAACTGCTCAAATTAAAAATACTCGTTTAAATCCATGATTTTATCTACCAATGATCTTTCCGTGTATTCTCAAGTGTTGAGTAGAATAGTATCGTCGGCCATGAGAAGTTCCCGCCATTAGTCCAATATCTCTGCCGCCGAAAATGTTAATCAAACACTCTCGCCAAAAAAACATTTATTTATTTATTTATTTACTCAGTATATGGAACGAAAACCATGATAACTAGTCATAAAGCGTGTTGTTTTGAAATATGCCACCATTTACCAGAATGATACCCTTCTTAATTGCGAGAATCAACTAAAGATAATAAAACAGAAAATCTAACAAACAATGAGAAGGTGGCGATCCAAAAGGTGCTGGAAGTAATTTTGTGGCACTAAAGAGCCTTAGATCATCGGTAGCTTAAGTTCCAAGATGAAACTTTCACGAAAAATCCTCCTATCGGCCGGAATGCTTCAGGCAAGAAGGATTAATCTTTCCACTTCAACTCATTCCCTTTACCAGGAATTCGGAGGTCAAAAGGTGACCTTGCGTGTTAATTTCACGGTTTAGAGTCTTAAGACAGCGCAGGTGGGAGGGGGGGGTGTGGCTA